CTGGAAACACGTTTTGTATTAAATTTTAAGTATTGTTGAAAGTTTTTAGCTTTTCTCCTTGTTGAAATACAGCTATTTAGTGCTCAGATGTCTTTTCGGCGGCGTACGTACATGCCTTACGTACATGGCGGCCATCATGAATGGCAAATGATTAAAATGATTCTGTTGGAAATTGTTGAAATAGTTGAATAAATACATGGGACGTACCTTTAGAATACAAAGAACTGATTCTTTCAAATAAAGAGGTTAGGATTGATGAATGATTTGAACGATTATAAATGCCTTCACAGTAAATCTCGAGCGTTGTCCAAGAGAAAGCAAACAGGCTCAAGTGATTTGAGTGCCGACGCGCACCTGGGAAATTACCCGCTCCTTTTTTAATAACCCCCTTCCTTTTACCCGCTCCTTTTTTAATTTACACGCTCCTTTTACCCGCTCCTTTTTGTAATTACCCTCTCCTTTTACCCGCGACCCGCTTCCCGCTCCAAATAGATACTCCCACCAAGGACAAGGTTTGGTTAGCATCTGCGTTGCAGTGATTGGGTGCTTTAATAGTGGCAATCATATTGTGTTTCATTACTTTCACATATGAAAGTTTGAGTCCTCTGTTCCACTTCCATGGAAGCAATGATAGCCGAAAAAGCCATTAAATGCAATGTCCATCCCGATGCCATAAATGGACGTTTTTCCTATGTGTAGTTATATCAGATTCTTTTTGACTTTGCCTGTCAAAAAATCTTTTTCCGTTGTTTTTTTTAATTATTTTTGTTTACATTTTGTTTTGACTAAATTGCTACTAACTTCCCGATGAAGGGCCCTCGCACAAAACGACGAAGTTCTCCTTGTATTATTCCGGTAGGTAGTTATATCAGTCCCTATTAGCTACAGGCACTATACCTACTTATTAGCGTCTGGCACTATACCTACACTGGCGCAGACTTTTTGAGATTCTAACACAGAACGCCACCTTAATACACACTTATAATGATATGTAGAAAAGGCCCTCATTAAGCATTTGCCTAGCTGCGTAAGGTCAAAAAATGGCCTGGTGGCAACAAGAGAAACAGCATCTTTTGTGGACCTGAGATAACCTGAGAATCAGGCTCTATTTTATATATGATAGCCTGACACAATCTTTAATCCAATCGCTACACCCACAGCAAAGTTTATATTTAGTATCCAATAAAAATGTCGCAGGAGAAATTTAAATTTCACGCAACGACAACAACAGAAAAACTGGTGAACTGGATCCTGACTGCATTAAAATATGACACATTTTCCAAATTCAAAAATAAATATCCTTAATTAATTAACTCAGTTAACTGTTTGCTCCTTTTTCATCAATGAAAGCGAGGCCCTAATTTGAGTTATTAAAATATCAATAAAATTTAGATTATTTTGAACTTTTGCAGTCCCGCTTGTTAACTACTTGCGGATTGGTGTAGTGTGTAACTTGGTTTTTGAATATTTGTTTCAAATGAATTGAAAAAAATCGTTACCCTGGCAAGCTACCAATGTCCGATCAGCAGCAGATTGTCTGGCAACAAATCAGAAATGTTTTAGTATTTTGCTTGCGTTAGGATAATTTAAAATTCATCAGGAGGAAAGAACTTGCATTTTGATAAATTGGGAATTATAAAAGAATTTTTTTTATGTTTTGAAATGCTTAGTCGATTTATTGAGCACTTGGAAATTTTACCGCTTTTTCGTGCTATCCCAACATCCCTCGGTTTCACCAAACACCATAATATTTAATGATCTCAAGGATTTGATTAGCAAAATATTGCTTGCACCAGCTTGTACCAAGGAGATCGAAGAAGGTCAGCGCAACACATCAGAAACTTGTTGTGTCTGTCACAGTATAGTCTTTGTCATCAAAATATTTTCGCATATATATTTTTAACTTGACTTAGTTGTGATCTACATTTCCTGAAATGATCACTGGTGTTAGGCCTTTTAAGTTTACAGTCGTACCTAACAAAAATAGGTACGCTAAGCGTACATGTATCTGCTCATGGTGATTGCACTGTTGCAAAGGGCTTTAATCATTACTCAGTAGCTTGTAAAAATATTAAGAGACTGCTGTTTAAATTAATATATTTTTCAATAAACATCACAAATATATATTATGGACATTATACACAATTGACCAGTTAAGTGATGTATATTCAACATGCAGAAACTAATTTCGGCCATAATTTCACAAAGATGAAATTCAGTTTTATGATGTTCTTGTTGAATCATTTCAGTTTTATAATGTTCTTGTTAAAACATGTCGGGTTCCAAATCTTCTTGATAGTTCACAATAAACTTTAACAGGCATGCAAGAACATTGTAGATGCATAGATTTTGTATTGCCAGTATACACTTGCAAAGTTTTGAAAGCCTTAATTGATGAATGATGATTACCATAATTGATGCATGACATCAACATTTCTGCGGTTTATAATTGATCTATTCATTTTAGAAAATGTCATAGTCAGAGTTGATGCAGCACAAATCAACTGTTTATGCCAAGTAAATATAATATCAAATAGGTTTATATATTAATTATATATATTTATTATTTCTTTATATATTAATTTAATTAAATAAACTAGGGGCCTTAATAAAAAGCCTGTTCGGGTTTCTAGTAGGCTCGTAGCCCTATAATAGAAGTGAATAAAAAAACAATGTATAAATACTTAATTCTGTGGGCGAATTAAAATAATAATAATAATATATTGAAGGTCATTCATCAGTAACAAATAATGACAAGTATGGAAATTAGATCGAAGTATAATCGATGCATATAGTTTTTGAATAGAATGATATAATTCAGCATACCAGATCCATGCAACAATATTATGTCCTGGAAGAAAATCCAATAAACAGAATAGTAGGTTTAGTTTTGTACATTGTGTACTATAAATAAGATCCTATTATGACATAAATAAGATACTATTAAGACAATATAGTATGGAATAGGGGAAGAGGGATATAAATTGCTTACCTGGTGTTCTTGACAGTTGACAATGACATTCAGTTGCAGAAATCAGGGTGTATGAAGAAGGGAGCACCCCCTCCAGGAAATATAGTTATATACTTCAAGTTGATAATTATAACTGGTTGCAACTGTTACTATAAGTATTGATATTCCAATCTAGAGCCGAATCTCTGCTCTTTATGCAGCCACTGTTAATTTGGCTTTGCTTTAATGAAAGCAATTAATCAATGCACACACTGTTTTAAGATCAGAGAAATGTTTCTATATGTGTAACTTAGCTTTTGATTTTGCAATATTTGAATGATAATGATCTATCAATTAAAGTCTGGTTGTCTGTAATGAAAGCAGACAGCAATTGTGTATAGTTATGATCATTGATAAAGAAATTATATAAGGGACCGGTCATAAAGTATGTGTACTGGGAGTGGGCAGGGGCGTAGCCAAGGGGGGGCAAGGGGGGGCGGTCGCCCCCCCAATCGCAAAAAAACTATTCTCTGAAAAAGGCTAAATCCGTAGAGAAATGGGGGGGGGGGTACACGTTACATCCTCGAAGCTGAAACGGATTAAGTACGTCTCGACTGAGGAAAACGACGAAATACTGGAAGAACTTGATTTCTAAAATCTCGTTAAAACAGTTGTAAATATGGTTCCAAGAGGAAAGGAGGGGGGGTACGAAACATTTCATCTCCTTTGATTGGGGGTATTAAATATTTTCTGACGCTTTCTTTTGGGGGGGGGGCAAATTTTATTGTGGAATTTTGGAATACCCTCCAGCCCCCCCCCCCCCAAGTACACATACTTTATGACCGGTCCCTAAAGGCCTTCTATTGGTTTCATTCAACTAATTTATAATAATTAAAGTCACCAATGAAAATGTTAGATTGAGAAGTGCATAAACATCAACACTTACACTCGATATACACCTACAATTATGGTAACATGTGGAAGAATCATTACTTTCATAGTTTCATAGTAGTATCTCAATGCCATTAGTCAATAATTTTTTGTCTAAAATTGCGAATCATATCGTTTGCACTGCGTATTAAATGATGAAACTCTCAACTTCTTGCCAAAAATACACCCTCGACCTTTGCCATATTCAGACTAGTAAAATGCATGACGTTGTTTTGACTGCGTTTGATGTTTAATTTTACAGTCAAACCGGATGTTCTCTTGCGAGCAACATTGCAATATTGTCCCACAATATTGTAATTTTGATAGGCAGATTGTTCTGAGCAATTTGCAATCGACACGAACATTGAAATTCACAAAAGATTTGTAAACAACGCCTCTGATAGGACTATAAGAAAGAGGGAAGCACCAATCCAGTTGCTCAGACTATTTGATTAGCTTTCCTCTTTCTTATAATCCAATAAGAGGCTTTGTTTACAAATCTTTTGTGAATTTCAACCTGCAATTTGTTCGACGCGGTTGCAAATTGCTCAGAGCAATCTGGCTATCAAAATTGCAATATTGTGGGACAATATTGCAATGTTGCTTGCAAAAGAACATCCGGTTTGACTGGAATTGTAAATTCACAAACTTCCTTTTGTTTCACCCTTCAGTAAACCGCCATTTTTAAATTATTATCATTATGTCATTTCACCTATACGCTGTCGCTGATTGGCTAGAAGCACGCTTACAAACTTCCGGTACGCGCACGATAGCAATATATCTGCATTTACAGATACAAAAATGGATGGGAAATGGGATTTAGAAAATGGAAGGACTTCAGGACCCCCTTAATGAAAGTAGTAATTTATTACTTTACAAAATTACTTTCGGAAAGCAAGTAATTAAAATTGCTCAATATTATATATAGAGTAACGCCTATTTTAGTAACGAGTATTTACAACACTGCTATATGCTGATTCCAACTTTAGTGTTTTTCTCCCTCTTTAAACTGCTCACCCTAGCTTGTTAGTTGGAAACTTAGGGGAAGATCTTTGTGCTACCCTCATGAACGAATATTTTTATTATGTAGGATTGGAGGTCCTGGACATCAGCAAAATTAATGTCTTGTGATAACGATGTGCTTGTCCCATCAAAATGGACGGTTCCTTGTAAAAATATGCTGACGGAAGTCGAAGACAAAGAGCTAATTGCCATGGATGAACTTCTTCATTGGGTGAATGAAACAAATCTGACAACTGAGGAAGGAGCAAAAATCGTTTTCAATAAGCTTAATGCATACTTTTATCTCCGTTGTTTATTCCCAGTCCTTCCTGATGACCCAACGAGTGTAAAGATATTTCAACTCAACCTGCATTTCTTGATACTGGGCTACATTATTGACGATAAAATTGAAAATTACAACAAGGACGAAATGGATGAATTAATTAGTGGCTACAAGAACCTACAAAATCAACTATCAGAAACGTTCCCGAAATTTTCAAGTATACCTGAAATGAAGCAGTCACTATATGTAACATTAAGAACGATTTCTCGAGAACAGCAGTCGCAACAATAGTTGATTACGTGAACAAAACTACGTTAATATTACTTGAAGGAGGAGACATAGCCGAGGACCAAGTAGTCAAGTATCGAAAACGCTTATCGAATGCCATTGCTGTGTATTTAGATGCACTATTGTCCAAAACAAAAACTGGATGCGAGATTTCGGAGAATGAGATGCTGTGGAGACGATGTTTTGACGCGCTTGCACTTGGAGTGTACATGTCGACAGAAGTGTTCAATAAAACCCTCGTCAAGAATCATGTGCTACCTATCAGCAAGTTCTACAAATTTTACTCCCTAAGCATCCTATTTTGCGTGGTCATCAACGATCTGTATTCGTATGAACGAGACAAGATGGACGAGAGTGATAGTATAATAAAAGTTTGGTTTAAACGGAAAAATGTCACAGATATGACAACAGCAGCATCGAAAGTTGCCAAAATTCTCAATGCAATAATACAGCAGATGTATTTGTTGGTTGAAGAAGGTAAAGCGCAGTATCCTGAGTTGTCCGAGTGGTTTGAGAGCATTGCTTCCATGACAGTTGGTTGGATATACATTCATAAGACGGTTGTGCCACGGTATGTTTCCTCGCCGTCCCAAGTCACTGTGGTCGAGATCCAAGAGAAAATGATTTCAAATTGGTTACTTGAGAAAGATGTTTACGGACAGAGCGTAGTCCGAGAGTTTTTAGAAAACTTGAATAATCCTCGGCAGAACTGCTGTGCAATTGAATATATTTTAGGTGATTAGGCAATTGTGCATGAGGGTTGTGAGTTTTGGTTTGATATATTGGTTAAACGTCGTGGTCGGTTGTAGTATACAGCCGGATAGTGATAAGTTCAAATATAGGGAAAACGAAATTAATGAACCAAACAATTTCTCATGCATGAACCGGTCAACCATACTGAATACATGCTAAACGCCGAAACGATGAGATTTCAGTATTTTAGCAATAGAATTTTCAAGCTTAAAGCAGATTTGAAACGGCGCAAGATAAGACATGTATGCGACCGTAAATTTAAACATTATTTGGCTGTATTATTATACATGTCATTAAAAGAGTTGGAAAAGACGTGTAGCTAGCTTTGGAACATGTTGACTCACAGTTAGCTGATTCACGAATGTTCCAGCGCTTTAGATTAGATTTATTACCCAAACTGATAATTAACGCTGTCCTAGCAAAACAAATTATATTGCTGGGCATTCGAGTGACAATTTCGTGCAATACTTTAATCGTCTTTTTGTAGCAAGTATCAATTAAATTAAGTTGGTAATGATCACTCATTGTTCTTTTAGTTCAACAAAGTTTGACCAAATTTTGTGATGGTTCTTCTTTACCAGAATCTTCTTTGAAGCGTTTCAACCCATTCAATACTATCGTCAGTGACGATGTTTTTTAATGATGTTTTGGTATCATACTGTAGCTGTTGTATATCAGAGTTACAGTAGCAGAAGTTCTCAAAATCCTCCGCACTGTACTTCTACATTGATTATGTATGTCAGATGCAGAACAGAAATCAATTCCTAGTTGTAATGTAGGAAGCTTTATATAGATGGATAATGTTACCGCTGATAGGGTTCTGAAGCCATTGCCAGATATATTTGGAAATTATATAATCCAGATTAGAATGTATCCAACTAGTGGTAAGCGGCAGAGGTGGTTGGACAGCCTATTAGGCGTATCTGGGCGAACATCTCGACCAATCAGATTGCGCCATTTTCTTAATGCTCCCACGAAGCTTGTTTCATCGAAAATTTACATAGTCTCATAAATATCTATTTTTTCATATGGTTATGCAAATTTTTGGGGGAATTTAACGCGACACTAGTTTTACAACAGTCAATCTACCCATTAGAACGGTATCTTGAAAGGTAAGCGTCATTTTCCAGTTTATTTTGACCTCTCACTTAGGCGCTATGCCGTCCGGATGTAACTGATTTAATGGCGTTTCTGTAAAAAATCTCAAATTTCCATTGTTCGATTTCGCTATTTTTTCACGATTAGTTCAACAAAACTATGATCTTTAATTCTATCTGGCCCCCCCGCCCCCCTTGGCCACGAAACCTTTTTCGAGATATTCACCGTTGAATATATTGTAGCCCTTTGTAAAATATGCTGCCTTGTTACGGCTCAGATCGATGGTGAGCTGCTATTACTCGCTTTTTTCTGAAGAAATGTGATATACTATATAAATTTCGATTATTATGGATTGTATATATATATTGCAGTTAAAGTATATAAATAATTAAAACACTTCTGTAACAATGTTTTATAAGTGAAATTTATTGTTTGGCTGATGCTTTTGATTTGATATTTTGGCTGGATTCTATTTTTGTCAATGATTTTGTCTGCAAGAATTATAAGCATCATCATCCTCGAGCCAATGGCGCGGAGCGCCGTTCCAGGCATAAGCCCTGGGCAAGGGTACTAATTCCGCCCGGCTATCTACACCCGGGGAAACGAAAGCATTAGCGAAGTCTAAACTTCATCGTGGGCGTGAGTAACAAACGAAGTTTCGGTTGGCGGTCATCCTCACCGATCTCAAAAATATGGCGGACTGTCATGAATAGAAGACACTGATTGGTCAAATTTAAAGTTTGCATTATAACGACTGCATGACGAACAGCGAAATAGCAAACATTTCTTGATTTGTCAGATTGGAAATATTTGATGATTAATGTCCTCACCGATTTGAAGCTGATTGTTGCATGCGTATAGTTTAATGAAAAAAAAACAGCATATAATCTCAGTGTTCCTTTATTGATTAACCTTTTTTATTATATTAAAAAAGAAAGCAAAGTTGTTTGAATGCGAGAATTTGAAATTTTTTTCAAACTCAAAGTTTAGTTTTAACGAACTAAACTTTGAGTTTGAAAAAAAAATTCAAATTCTTTAAAGGCAGTTTTATAGTTTTATAAGGAACATTTTAAAACGTCTTGTGAAGCGTGTGAAGTTGAATTTTACCTTAAATTGAAACTTATATTACGTATAATAAGATACTGAACATATATATGTTTAGGGAATTGAACATTTTGTAATTAAAAGTGATATTTGTAGAGGATTTTTCATTTCTAAAAATATTCTTACAGCAAGATTATCGTGTTACCATGACAACTACTTTAATACTTTATGTTCGGAAAATAATGGTTTTGTCAGGAAGGCGAGGGTTCTGCATGCATGTATTTTCCAGTTAAATTTGGAGGTAATATCTGTCTGTCCAAACCTTCTACATCTGCAAGATCTCCGATGCTAAGATTGTCTCCGTCAAGTGACCAAAATCTTGTTCACCTCCCTGGTAATGTTATTGATATGATGACTTCTGGATTTTCAAAACTAATCCTGTGACAACAAGAACAACTACTCATCCACCTGTTTCAAAAATGGCTGGTAAAAGTTCAAAATGACAATCTGATTTGTCACGCTGCTCGATGCTTTGGAGTTACTATGAAACAAACCTACAATTCCCTAAGCACATTTCTTCATATCAGCTCCAACAAGCACTCACAATGCTATTCATACCTTTGAGGGCTGATTAAATGCCCGTCCAAAGTCGGTATTTTTTGAGCATACATGTAGTTGTAATTGGCATTTTCAAAAGCGTACACTTTTTCGGATTATTTCGTTCCAAAGATAAGTGCATGTACTATTAACTTTGGAATAAAGATTTGAAGGGCAAATGAAGCTAGAGTACTGTTCATTGGTCTGACTTTTTCACAAGCTTAACAACCTTAATACAAATTTCAAGCTTATCTATGGAAAAAATGGAACACAGCTGTGAACTTTGGAACAGTATATATGTGTCATTAATCCCATCTTCTGATCCTACATTTTGTATGCTTTTAAAAATGTTGACAATTAATGATGATTAAACATTGATATTGTAAGTATTATAGAATACCTTGTACAAGGCTTTCGTGGTTTGTACATGTTGATTCCACATTTCAGCAACTTTGTTTAATTCATCTCTGAGTATGTCCATGAAACAAAATCGTATCAAATCGACTTGAACAGGATTAAATCGTTATACAAGTCAAAGTTTCGTATATCACCCGGGCCCATCCCTAATAAGGTGAGAACTGGTCCAATAGGCTTCTAGATCGTTGATTCGATGTAGACATTCCAAAAGAAAAACTGGCAAGACCAGAATGTTCATCAGTATGTTGTGATCGCAGAAATATTTTCAAAGCTTCAACAATGCTATTCTCAGTACTGTTGACTGATTTCATCTTTTGTGATACACCTCCGACTTGTAGTATGGCATCGAGGTAATATTTTCCAATTACTTCAGAATTTTTATTTGGTGGACCCCGCACTTGGTTTCAACTTTTCGTGGCCGCCAACGTGCCATATATGGTTAGGACCCCTGGATGAATACGTTCTTCTTCGAAGCCCTCTCTTGCTTCTACTTTCAAAGCCTCGAGGATCGATCTAATTTTACCAAACAGTTTTGAATGACTTCCATCTGAACGGCAAGTCCATACTTGGCCATTATACGTGTTTCATCATTTTCCGATATCCAACGTTGCATTTGCTCCCAGATAATCCGTGTTCAATAATACGTTCAATATCTTCTTGTGAACTTGTTCATCAGCTGGTATTACGTCTTCGGAGACCAAGACTTTTCAGCCTTGCTTTTATTCGTTGAGCTAAAATCTATTCCATGCATAGCTTTAGGAATTCCAGTATTTCAACGTTAGTGAAACCTTGTTCAAAGTAATTGTACTAATAAGCTCTGTTTCATCTCTTCTTTGGTCAATTAATGCCATACTTGGAGCATATTTATTCAAAGGCATAGTTATAAATCTTCTGTTTCCGACAATAACACGTTAATAGTTGACAAGAAACAACATGTCGACATAAGCTAGCTTTTTAATCTTTATTGAGCAGAACCAAAAACAAAATTGAACCGTTTAGAATTTTAAAATTGAACTGTGTCAAAAACTAAAACTGAACGGTGTGAAAAACTAAAACTGAACGTGCATGTGTCAAAATTTAAGACTGAACTGTGTTGAAAACTAGAACTGAACTGTGTTAGAGACCAAAACTGAATTGTTAAAATCTAAAACTGAACTGTCATGAAATACAAAACTGAACTGTCAATCAGAAACCAGAGCTGAACTGTGAGCCTTGTGGGCCATCGTACTACACAGCAGTTACCCCTTTTTTGTCTTTTAATAGGTTTATTTTTCTTGGTTTAGAAAATTTTAAAAGATTTTTAGACAGTTTTTTGTTTTAAACTTGGTCCTTGTCACAGCTTTGTAAGGCAATAAAAATACCTTATTGCCCGTGGGCAATCACGCGAAAACCCTGCCTCATCAGCAGCCAATCAAATTGCGCGACTCGCCAACTGAACAAATGCTTGCCGTATAATATAATATAACATAATATAATATAATATAATATAATATATAATATATAATATATAATATATAATATATAATATATAATATATAATATATAATATATAATATATAATATATAATATATAATATATATAATATATATATAATATAATATAATAATATATATAATATAATATAATATATATATAGTAGATATATAGTACAGACTTTAATTCCTCCAATACTGAAGATATGTACAAAATATTTAAAAGCTAAGGTAAAATTAAATTAATTAAGATAAACGAATGCATGTTCGTACTGTTTGAATGTATCTCGTCTAAGCTGTGATTGTACACAATTTGCTGATATGTTTTACTACAATTAAGGCTAGTTCGTCTTTTAGGCTTACATTCCCAATAAAATTGGGATTAAGTCCACCAAGTAGGCTTACATAAAGTTCTACATCGTCCATGGAATGAAGTGCAGCTAAAACATTTGTCGGAAGTTTATCAGATATTTCTTCCCACAAGTTATTCCGCCAAATGTTCTTGTGTGGACAGATCATAATAAAATGAAAATTGATGTTCCAGATTTGTGCTTGGCATAATGTACACCGAACAGTGGGATCACATGTCGTCCACAAATAAAAAATTCTTGGAACGTTTCCGCAAATAATTTTAACCAACTTGACAATAGATAGTTTCTCGCAAGGGTTACGTTTCGCTAATTCCCATAGGTATAACGGTGTCAAGTTCGTATGGATTTCTTTAAAGAAGAAAAGTTCTTCTTTATGCAACATTCCGTTTTTCCACTTTTCGGTCTCATAATTTTTTATTTGCGTTTGAACTATTTTTTTCCATTTGTTTTTGGATGGAATAATTGATTCATGTACAAATGTTGCCAGGTAATCGAATAAGTCGTATTTATTCAGGATACGCACAATATCAGGTATGAATCCAAGTTTCTGCTTTGTGGGATTTGCGAGATACGAAAATAATCTATTGATAAAAATTTGCTTTGCAGTCATTGTAACGCTTGATAGACATAAGCGACCAAAGTACAGCAATTTTGCTTTATCTATCTGCCCCTCCATAGACCACAACCCCAGACTGCCAAGTGCCGCTTCAGATCGTGTATTAGGTTCGAGACCTTGGATACGCTTCGCGCTATGGCGTAGGCTTCTTTCAATGGATAACAGTTCTTGTTCAGTCATGTTGTTCCAAAGTTCACAGCCGTAAAGAGCAGTGGGAATTACAACAGAGCGCCATAAGTTGGCACCACAAATTGGGTTTAAGGCATTAGGACGTACTCCAAGATTGGAAAGGCATGCCATTGTTGATTTGGCTTTAGCACAAGCTTCAAGCGTTCTTTTCAGGCTAGAAAAGTTACCTGATAGCTCAATTCCAACATGTGGCCAAGTTTGTTTTTCTTTTATTGGAACTCCATACAGAGTCCATGATCTTGAATCGGTTAATCTGTTTCGCATTTGTGTAGTTTCACCGAATGTTATTACTGTCGTTTTTGATGGATTAAATTCGAAATGCCATTTAAAACTGTAATTTTCTAAACAGTTGAGCATAACTTGCAAGCCTTTAACGCGAGTCGACAGTATGGCAATGTCATCAGCAACCAAAATAGGGTTGCATCGGAGGTTGTTAAGCCAAAGACTTTCGTTGCATTCATTTAGAACCTGTGGTAAATCATTATTAAATATCATAAAAAGCCATGGCGATAACACGCCACCTTGTCGTACACCTTGAAGAATAGGAAATTCGCTAGACGGTGCTCCATCAAATATGACACGACTAGTAAGCTTGCTGTACCAGTTTCTTAGCAGTCTCCAGGTTTTTCCTTGAATACCAAGATTGAACATTTTATAAAACATTCCAGAGATCCACACAGTATCAAAAGCCTTTGCTGTGTCCAAGAAGCAGCCATAGACTTTGCTTCCGTTTTCAATGTTATGTAAAACAGCTTCTTGCAGTGACATTGTAGCATCAAGGCAGCTTTTTCCTGCCTGATATGCGTATTGCAGGTTGTTCGGAAATCCTTTCTCACCAAAGAAGGGCATCCATCTGTTAAGTATCAGTCTTTCAAAAATTTTCCCGACAACATTCAGCAACGTGATGCCTCTGTAATTGTCTTTATTATGCCTATCTTTCTTGTTAGTTTTATACAGAGATATAATGTCACCAACAGCTAGAACATTAGGAATTTCCTCCATTACTCTAATGGCATTGAGTATTTCGGTGAGAACCTTCATGACCGCTTGACCCCCGTACTTAACATGTTCATAATACAGACCATCAGGTCCGCATGCCTTTCGATTCGGTAACTGTGCACACGTACTGCTAATTTCGTTAAGCGTAAAGGCAGCGTCCAGGGCATCGTAACTCGCATTTAGACTTTCAATTTCATAATCTACCAAGCAATTTTCAACATAGGAAGTAAACTTTGCGTCGAAGTTTGAATTATATTTAAGCTTGTACAAATCTGAATAGTGATCCTTCCACACTTCGCGTAACTCGTTCGGGTCATCTATAGTCTTTCCGTTTATCTTCAAAGTATATGATTGTAGTCCTCTATCCTTGCGTCGTGTTGACATGGTGCGTTGAAATGCACCTCTGTCTTGATCAAAAATGTTTTCAAATCTTTCGTACTCTTTAGACTCATATTCATAGGCTTTTCGTCTAAGCTGCTTTCTAAAATCACGTTTGGCTTGCTTGTAAGCACGGAAAAATGCGTTATTAGGATCCCGCGGACGTCCCTGCGTTATCCAAATCTTGCGAAAGTGACGACACTTTTTGTGCAGAGGTTTCAAACCTTCTTTCCAGTAAGGCTTGAGGTGACTTTTAAATTTTAATTTTGGGATCGATTGATCCGCAGATGATTGAAGCGCAGTTGTTACATCTGTTAGCATATCGTCTATTGATGAAATATCAACGTGCGAACAATCTTCAAACTGTAAAGTGTCAAGAGCAGCAGTTACATTTGATTCATAAGCTTGCCTAACTGAAGGAACAGCGATCATTTTCCATGCTGGAGGAGGCTTTGGTATGGAATTGTTCAATTTATTTGTTGCACATAGTTCTATAGTACAGAAAATTGGTCGACGAAATGAAAGATTTCCACAATCATCATCAGATACAAGACAAGATTTGACAAGGTCTATGTGATCATTCCTAATGAGAATATGGTCTACTGTTGTTTTAGTTAGTCCATTGTTGCTATAAAACGTTTCAATTGGTCCTGTACAAAACGATTGTGAATTGACAGAGATCAATGATAGTCTCTTCATTATTCTTTTGAAATGTGTTCCTCTAATGTTTATGTCTGCAAAGCTTCTAGGTCCCCCCGAAGAGCCTATGTGGCAATTGAAGTCACCAAGAACCATAAAGGACCCGCGATTGGAAAGTTCATTAGTGACGTCCTCTAGGGCTTCAAGAGTTTCTTTATAGACAGGAAGGGGTAGGTTAGACGAGGGAAAATATACTCCAATAATATAGAAATTGTATTTGTCCGAGGTTTTAAAATTAATGGCTACAATTCGGTCATTTCCTATTTCGTCTAGTATTTCTACGCTTGCGTTTAATGATTTTCTCCAAAAAATAGCAATGCCCCCTTTGCCTCTCCGCCATAGTGAATTTAAGTCCAAATTGCTACTGCATCTTCCCCAACCCGTAAAGTTTTGGTGTAATGTTTGAATAATTGATATAGAATCAGGGTAAAGCCAGTGTTCTTGGATAACTAATATGTCTGTGTTATTTAAGCATTGCTCTATATATGGTATATTGCAAATCAGTCCGCCCACATTTAGCGTCGCAATACGTATATTGTCTTTGTTTACACTATTCATTGGATTGATTAGTTGGTTTGTCTTGATTTATAGTATCAAGTTTATTTTTCGTTAACCAAGGTTTACAAGACACAAAAGCTGGCCAGAAATCTTTTTGAGATATAACAGAACAATCTTTTGCATTTACATTCAATTTGGCCGAAATAGTCCCCTTTCGCCGACTTGGAAATATTCTCAATTGAGTGGGCTGGATCTCTCTCTTTTCTAGAAAACCAATTATGGTTTCATAGTTTACGGTGTCAGAAATTCCACTTAAAAAGAATCTTTTAATATGTCTACGTTTACGTTTAACGCCGACAAAGCCATCACCATCAGCTTCCGAAGTTAAATCTACATTCGGGACATGATCTGGCGCTTTTGATAAATTAGGCTGAAGTTTGTTTTGATTTGGTTGAATGGTTAAATGGCGATTAGTATCCGAATTTGTATGTACATTGTCTTCATCAACAATAGCGTTGACTACAGACTTGTTAGTTACATTGCCATTTGTCATATTGGATGCGGCATTGTTTTTTGTTTTTTCAATAGATTCAATCGAAGGTGATTTGCCTGGTGTTGGCCTAGCCGTACTAATTGGCAGGGGAATAGTGTTTTTTGAACTGGTTACGCCGTTTACATCGTTATTTTTTGGTTTATTGTTGGGGTTCATTGTCGCTTCTGAATAAGTTTGGCGTGCTTCTTTATTTAAATTTAAATTTGGTGCTCGCTTTTCGAGTGTCAATAAGCGAGATTTTAATGTTAAATTTTCAGATTTCAATTGATTTATTTCGCTCTCTTGTTTCTGAATAGTTTTTTCCTTTTGAGATAACTGCGCTAAAATATCATTTATATCATGAGTAAATTTCTCCTTCAAAATAAACAAATCTGCTTCGACAGAAGCTATACGATCGGAGCAATGTTTGTGTGCTAAACGCGACTCTAGACCAGAAATATCACTTCGCCCTTGCGTAGCATTAAGAATGGGAGTCCCAAATATTTGCTCAGCAATGTTATCACTACTATCACTCACTGTTATGATGTTTTCAGCTAAACAGTCATCTCCAGATTTAAACATAGATTTAATGGCAGGTTGAACAACCCCAGTATCCAAACATACCATTAGTTCAATTTTTCAATTTCAATTCAATTTATTAAAAGTTAAAAACAAACAAATTACACACTACACTAACCCGCAAGTAGTTAAAAACTAATCTAGGCGGGTATAGTGTTGATTAGAATATATATAGCACATAGTCAGTGTCGAAAAGGTACATTATTGTGCAAAATAGAAAGAAAAGAAAATAAACAACAATTAATTAACG